AACCAGCCCATATGGCTACCTGCAAGCCCACCTCGCCCATGCTAGTCTCTTGCTCTTGAAATGGCCTGGATCACATGCTAATGCTCACATCTTCAGACCTGGCCCAGATAGAGGAAATATAATGGACATAGGATAAGATGACATCAGCATCTAAATGCTCATTTGCCAGTCAATGAAAATATATATTTTATCAATGTAATACTGACTGTCTGACATGCAAGAGGGCTAGCCTCCATTTCCTGTTTCTTTCATAAACTCCAGTACAAAGAGGGAAAGAAGCTGAAGCCCAAACCAAACTACAACAGTGTGGACCTCTCTGAGGTGGAGTGGGAAGACCAAGATGAAATTGTGAGTATCAGAAAAGGATTGTAGCCCGTTCATGGCCCTTTCTTCTTAATTATTAGTGGGGGGGGGGAGAATCCTTATGGTAGATTGTAGCAACTCCAGGTTTCTTCTGCCAGAGGCTGATCATTATTATAGAGAGTTAGTCTGTACAGAGAGCAGCATCCCCTTTCCATTCCCATACAGAATGATTTGTCATCTCCTCTGTGGGTACATCTGCACTGAATTTGAAGGTCTGATTGTGGCAGGTGTAGACATCTCCAAACTAGCTGTGATCAAACTACGTAGTTAGATTGGCACAAGGTCAAGTAAGAGTTGCAAGTTAGCTGCACAACACAGGTTGCTCAAATAGGCTATGTCTACACTACCACCCTAGTTCGAACTAGGGTGGTAATGTAGGCAACCGGGGTTGCAAATGAAGCCCGGGATTTGAATTTCCCGGGCTTCATTTGCATATTGCCGGGCGCCGCCATTTTTAAATGTCTGCTAGTGCAGACTCCGTGCTACTTTGAATGACTCTGAGAAGTAATTATTTTGAAATAATAGCATCTGAGTGTCCACACTAACCCTATTTCAAAATAGCAATATTGAAATAGGCATTATTCCTCATAAATTAAGGGGTTAGTATTTCAAAGCAACAAGCCTGTTATTTCAAAGTAATTTCGAAATAACGGGCTTGCTGTGTAAATGCTCACCTTGTTATTTCAAAATAACTCTGTGGTGTAGACATTCCCTCAGAGACTAACAATTATGTATTTAGTATCATGAGCTTTCATGGGCAAAACCCATTGCCTGAATGAGTCTTCTGAGCCGCTCATAAAATGTTCTTAGTTGGCAGCTCAGAGAAGGCAGAGCAAATGGGGAGCCAGTCAGTCGTTTCTCAGTAAAAGCCTCCCCGATATAAATTACAAACCACATCCACATCTTGTTCTTCCCTCATGAGAGTCACTAATGCTAATCTGTTACCCTGTACAGCTGAGAACAGCAATGATCAATGGAGAAACAGGTTACCTCGCCATGGACGTGAAAGTCCCTGTGGATAAAGGGGTAAGAAATCTTAGTTCTGTTCAGGTCACAACTTGAAGGGAGATGAGAAATGAATTCTGGGGATCTATGGAGGGTGCAAACCTAATGCTCAGCATTTCATGTGTGGATTTTAATATTATACTGCTTTACATATATAATTTGTTCAAACCAAACACGGACAGATCATGAGTCTCTCTAGGCAAAGTCAAGGAATATACTGTCCAGAGATTATAGGGGCATCTCTGTAAAGGAAACAATCTATGAAATCATAGGCAGTTAGAGGTGGAAAAGATATATTGGGTAGAGCTGATAAAAATCAGAATGTATTTTTTCCAACATTTCTCAAATTTTCAGGTTTGTTTTTTGTTGTTGTTATTTTTTAAGGATCAGCACAGATAGAATTTTCATGAAATGTTTTGATGGAAAAATCCTATTCAAATTTCCTTCTTGCCCCCTCATCCTTCCATTGCCCATGTATGTAGTAACTTTGCATTTTTCATTTTAAGTCAATCCAACCAGTCCTGTAATTTTGTTTCCTTTCTCTGTGGTATAATTTGTCAACATCTTTCTGGTACTGAAGTGCCCAGAGCTGAATTCCATAGTGTGGATGTTATCTCACTAGAGTTTCTCCTATAAAGCTCCAGTCTGCTTACTCCACAATGTGAGAGCTCTGCACACAGAGCCCCAACTCTCTTTGACTGCTGCCATATCATATTTGTCACTTCTCTCTAATTAGCTGCCCCCAGTCTCATGCCTAGGCCTCTTTCAGCATTACTGTCACCTCATTTTCTCCTTCCCGTTGCATAGCTATGTTTCTCCTTATTTTTCTTCCTCCCTGTTCTGAGCATTTTCTAAAATGTTAGTTGAAATGGTTCCCAAGGCTCATCCTTGCTGTTCTCCATTTCTCACCAGTTGATACACTATTGTTTACATGACTTTTCATTTCCATTGTTTGTCAGTTTTCATTGGATGTGAAAAAGATCCTGTCTAAGCCAATATTAATTAATTTGGGGGGAGTAAGTTTTCATGAGACACTGGAGCAAATGCTTTATGTAAATCCAACTATATTGCATGCACTTTATTCCCTGCATCTATTAACTTTATAATTCTGTCAAAAAAGGCAATCTTGTTTGTCTGGTGAGATCTATTCCTGAGAAGCCCAGGCTGCTTATTGCTCATGATCCCATTATCCTCTCAGATAGGGGTCGGCATCCTCTGAGTTTATTGTATTGTTGCGGTCCCACAATATAGTTTTCTCTGAGACATCCAAAGGAATCTTGTTCATTTCAACTTTTTCGTGAACATCACAAACACATAAAGATTTCTCCATTTTCCTCCCTTTTCCTCTATTTTTATTGTTCCCATCCAACATTTTCCTTATGTGCATTTTCCATCCCATTTCTATATTTTCTCAATTCCACTTCTTTTTTTTCCACATCCTCTCTCAATTCCCCGTTTTTCTCATCCTTTTCCCCGCATTACTGCTATTTCACTCCCCACCCACTTCTAATCCCTGTTTCAAGTAATTGCCCCTTTGTGTAATGCACTTCAAGCTACACATGTGCTATACAAAGTCAGGATCAGAAATATTTCTTAGCAGCATTCTTCTGGTCCTTGTATGCATCCCCCTGCTCATCTTTTGCACCATATTGAAGGGATGAAAGGTGCTGCCAGTCCCCTGCCACTTAGTTCCTTCCTACCACTTATGGTCTAGGACAGAGGTTCAGTGTTGCTGCTGACTTCTTCAGCTTCTCTCTGTAAATAGCATTATCATTGTTTAGAGTGAGTTAGAAATGGTTTTGAGGATTTGGTTCCATCTATTTTGTGACCTTCTCAGCTGAGAAGTGTTTCTCTATACCTGCCTCAGTTCCAGTTCTCCTCAGCTGCTCGAGACTATGCTCCCTTGCTTTAAAAGCTGCATCAGGTACCAAAAAGCTTTCCTGGTCATGGACTACCACAATACCTGTCTGTACTGCCTGGGGAAAGTGCATGTCCTTTCAGGTGCAGTATCTGGAGGTCATTCCGAAGTAGGACTAAATCATCCAGGAAGTTCTGACACCAAGAGTTCCTTATGGAACAGTCTATGAAGGGAAACCACCAATATATCAGCCTGATGGAGATAAGGGTAGTGACTCCTTTTCAGTCTTGGGCAGTTCTAAGATTGTCTATCCCTTACCACACCCCCTGGCTCCAAGAAACTTGGGAGAGCAGAACCAGAGAAGATGTAGGAAGGGGAACATAAGTGCTACCATAAGAGCTATAGGAAAGGCTACCCATCCAAGTCCTCTAAAAACAGCTGGGTGTTCCCATCCCATACTAAGTCATTAGTAGTTACCTTCTCCTGAATGGAGCCATCCACTACTGGGATTTTTTCAAAGGGAAAAACCTCAGCACCCTTTGGTCCTGGAATTGCTTCTTAGGCACAGAAACCTGCACTTGTACCTCCAAAGCCAGGGCCCTCTACTTCAGCAACTCAAGTTACAGAAGTGACTCTGTCAACTCTGGCTTGTTTCTCAGTTCCAAATGACCTCTTGCTGGGACAGGATTCACCACTGCTTTCCAAGCACATAGAATCCAGTGGCAGACATCAGGAAGCAGGGGAGGGAATTTGTAGCAGAGCTTGGGGTTGATAAGAATGAGTCAGGAGGAGTAAGGGCTGGGTGAAGGGAATATGGATAATGGTGTCTTTGGCACAGAAGTGACCCCCACAGTTGATTCATAGTTCCTAAGGCCAGGAGGATCCACTGGGATCATCTAGGGTACGTCTACAAAGCCACATTATTTTGCAATAACTTAGTCCGTGTCTACACAGCAGGCAGTTATTTCGAAATAATGTCAAAATACTGTCAATCTGAAGGACTTCTTTCTCCAGCTGCTGTAACCCTCGTTGTAGGAGGAGTAAGGGAAGTCGGAAGAAGAGTGCTCTATTTCGAAATAAGTGCTGTGTAGACTCTCCCAATTTCGAAATAAGCTACATAATTGATGTAGCTCAATTTGCATACCTTATTTTTAGTTAAAACCCTGCTGTGTTGATGCACCCTTAGGCTGATCTCATGTATAACACAGGTGATAAATCTTCTCCAAAATAATTCCTAGAGCAGATTTAGAAAAAAAATCATTTAAAAAGTTGCCACTGATGGAAAATACACCACAGCTCTTGATAAATTGGTCTAATAGTTAATTACTCTCACCATTAAAAAGGGATGTATTATTTCCAGTCTGAATATGCTTAGTTTCAAGGTGAATTCAGAAGGGCATTGCCAAGGAATGAGATAGCAAAGGAATGTAAAGACTGAATCTGAAGGATTCTGGTTGGAGAGATCTAAAGGCAGAGAAGCCTCTATTGGTAGCAGTTACTGCAAAGAGAGAGGTTACATCGAAAGAGCAAGGACATGCCCATGATTCCAATTCCCTGTACTAGATCATTGAGAGAGAAGCAACTGGGAGACAGGGTGAAATGCAGCACTGAATTCAAGAAGAATGAGGAGAGAGAAGGAGTCAGGGTGACATAAAAATGGGAGTGAGAATTAAGGCCAGAAGAGAGGAAAGTTCTTCGCCACCAAAAATCACCACACAAAACCACTATCTATAGCCCCCCCTCTGTGTGTAAGGAGTGGGAGCCACAGGGCAAACAGAGTAGTTCGGAGAAGTAGGTGAGCAAAGAGGTTTTACTTCTGCATCCACTCAGGCTGCACTGTGGGGACCCAAATTCCTGAAATTCTGTGTGACAGCACAAAGCATTTTACCTCTAAGTTTCTGGATTGGCCATACTTTATCATTTGCTAAAGTGATTAGAGCGTTTTTCTTTGGACAATGCCCAGCTGTCAGCCAGCTGGCAAATCTCCCACACCAGGAAGCTGTGTGCAGTGTAGACAGCTTTGCCTCAAGTCCCTTTGACTGCGGTGGCAGTGCCAGATGGATTTTCTAGTACCCCATGGATTAGTGTTTTAGCAGAGAAAGGTGTACATGCTCACATAGACACAGAGCTTCGTGTGATCCTGGTAGGAAAAGAGATAAGCCATGAATGGAACAGCTCGCCCTGCTGTCTCTTCATCCACTTCGTTAACCTCAGTTCCATCTGTATTCCTACTAGCCCACCTGCTGAGTACACAAACCCAGGATGCAGCGTAGGCTGATATTAGCGGGTCCCATGTTCTATGCTCTACCTCCCGTATTATAAAACAATCTCACAGCAGTTTGCAATGGGCCTACTGATATGCACTATCTTCAGGCATTCTCTCTCTAGTGCTGGGGTTCTCAAATGGGGGAGGACTCCTCAAGAGGTCACAAGTTTATTACATGGGGGTGGCAAGTACATGCATGAAACAGAGAACAGCAACTACTATAAAATATGTAATTTAAAACTCGCATTTTAGAAAATTATACACTTTTCCATCGCAGGAGAGTGTATTTGCGTCAAAAAGTGTTGTCAGTGTGTCATGCAGTGATCCTTCTTCCTAAGCAAAATATACATTTGTATTCTCACCACTTTCAAGGGATTGGACTCTGAGGACTGTAGACAACACACACAGGTTAGTTGTCTTGCAATTAAAGAGTGGGACTGAGGCATTACAGGGTCTTCCAATCAGCTGTAATCAGTTTGCAGCCCCTGTTCTGGCTCTTCCAAGCCCATTCTCTCCCACCTCCAATCCTCCTCATCTGCTTCTCTGAAACTTCAGCCTCATTGATGAGAGGGAAGCAGGGAAGCTGATTAAGTTAATGCATTGTAGCCCACAGTGAGGTCAGGGTCAGTCTGAGGCCTTACAAAGGAAGACCAGCAGGACCCCAGGCAATCTGGTTGTACTGTGAGCATATAGCTAATGCAGTGAGAGAGAAGACCACTTCCTCCCACTTTCTGCTGTCTGGGTTGTAATCCCAGAGTTTAAGATGTTTACTGGCTCTGCAAGGAAATAGAATGACTGAGTGAATCTCTGAAAAGCATGATTTGCTGAACATTGCACACTGCCCCGTGGTCTCAGACCTGGCCTGTGGAGATGTGGGTGGATGTTACTGGAGTTCATCAGATGCATTTGGCTTGCCTTTGGGGTTGTGTAGGCAAATTATCATTGTCGCTGTGATGCAGTAGGGCAGTGAACTCCTTCCTCCACCATAGGGTTTGTTTTTTCAAAAAAGTGGCTTATTTTCCCCCTTTTAATTTATTTATTCCAGAAACGGGTTCTCTTCCTCACCAACGATTATTTCTTCACTGACATCAGTGACACGCCTTTCAGGTGAGCCAGTGTGTAAATGGGCACCACCAGTAGAAACAAAAACTTAGCTGTGGGCACTCTGCTAATCTGCTGGGAAGCATTGGAATCTGGGCGGCTGCACAAGCCACTGGTTCCTTCTTCCCTTGTGTTCAGTTCAGTTACCCTTACTGTTTCCTGGGGGATGTTCTTTTGTTAACAAGAGAGGGGGTTGCTGGTGGCATTGGGAGTCATAGCTCACCTCTCAGGGAGGACAAGTTCCAATTTAAGCATTTGAAGATTGCATGTGACCTTGCTGACAAACCCTTCTGTTTCCCCCTGCCTACAGTCTGGGCGTTGTCCTCTCCCGTGGGCATGGGGAATACATCCTGCTGGGGAACACGTCCGTGGAAGAAGGTAGGTTAACCTAAAACAGTCAGAATTTCATAGAGAGCAGGGATGCTGAACATCATTGGCAGCCCAGGGTTGGGCTTGTGCTTCCATCTCTATTCTGTCCCCGCCCCCTTCCTCTCAGCCTTTTTCTGTCTATCTGGTTCGTTGACTGATCAGTAGACTTATTGGTTGCTTTCTGATTTCAGGCTTGCATGACCTGCTGCAGCCAGACTTGACCTTAGCTAATGAATGGTAAGTAGATCACACCCTGTTGATAATGGAGTTTTCTGTTGAGATCACTGACTAGCGTTCACTTGCTGCTCAGCTCTGCCACCCTCCCAGGCCTTGAGACAAAGCAATGTTGTCCTGAAGAAACTGATGGTGTCAGAGTTTAGTGCAAGCTCCTGAGAGTTCCATCGCTTTTTTTGGCAGATTGTTCTACAGTCTGACCCATCTCACTGTCAGGAAAGATCTCCTGATATTCATCCTCAAGTCTCCTTTGCACAATCTCGTCCTATACCTGCCTAAGGTGGAATATTGTTGCAAGGTCAGATTACACTCAGTGAGAAATCAACTTGGTTCACATGCCTTTTAACTGAGCCCAGATGTGGTTTCTAGTGAACCTGGAGTTGACTTTATTAATGCAAAATCATATCATGCAAATTTTTTGCTTTTGCTCGGTTTGCCCATGAAAGAAAGCGAAGCTTTTGCTTTGAGATTTGGGATTTGTGTGTTCAGCCATGTGAACCTCAAATATATCAAAACTAAAGCAATTATTTGCAGGAAGCACAGCAAAAAAACTGCAACTTATATCCTAGTTAAAACCCCTCAAACTTCCCATGAGCAGCGTCGTCTCCTCCTTCAATTCCATGTATAATTAACACATATACTCAAGTCGTGTGTTCACCCGCTTTACATAGTCACTTCTTCTAGTCTTGCCTCAGAACATTCCTTCAAGTTCCTTAATAGTTTGTATTTCTTTTTATACCCCTCCAATCTGACACTGAAGTGTCCAGAACTGAAAGCAGAATTAAAGGCTGGTCTCATGTGGAATATAGAGTAGTAATCGCCTCCCTGCTCTGCGCCCTGATGCCTCTGCATACGCATTGGTTTCCTTCCCAAAATAACACAAAACTAGACAGTGAACAAACTATCTTTGTCTCCTTTGGCTTTCCAAGTTTCTCCATCACACTGAATATTATTATAGACAGGCCAGTGTATATGTTACCACTGCCCTTTGCTGGGTCAAACTAGAACTGCTCTGATGTGTGTCAGTGGAACTATACTGATAACATAGGGTATGTCTACACTTGCACCCTCTTTCGAAACCCTTCTCTCGAAATAACTGGGAAATCTCATTGTCTGAGGAATAAGGGTTATTTCGAGAGAAGGGTTTTCTCTCAAAATAACCGCGTCTTAACAGTGTCCGTAATTTCAAAATAGCGCCATAACACAAATATGCAAATGAAGCGCAGGATAGTTAAATCCCAGCTTCATTTGCAATTTTGAATGTCTTCATTTGCATCTTGCTCTCAAAAGAGGGTGTAAGTGTAAACATTCCCAAAGATGCTTCTTTAGCTCAGGTGCTAGGGTCCTGAGGAGGAGCTGAGTTCTCTACATGCTGTTAAGTTCTGTGCACCCAAAGAACGCAGCCTAGAGACAACTGAAATTCCCTAGTGGCCAAGGATATGTTACAATATTTCTTCCAGCTCACTGTTTTTCTGGTGTGTTTGCTTGCAAGTGATTTTCTGTATTTCTCTCCTTGCTGCTAGGATTTACTGCATCACCGATATTGATCCAGATCACCGGAAGCTCAGCCAGCTGGAGGCCATGATCCGCTTCCTCACAGGAGAGGAACCCGATCTGGAATGTGAGTGATCTGCTGGAGCATTTCAGTGTCTCTTCCCCATGGAGAGGGGGTGTGGGAACTCAAGTGGAGGCATGCACTGTATGCTCAGACCTGCAGAGCTGAGTTCAAACACTTGCTCACTTCACAACTGGAAATCAATTAAGTGAGCTGCATCCTAATGTCCTGCAAGCTGCTGTTTCCTTTTCAAACATGACCACAAAATCAAACCTGGCTGAAAGAGGAGGAAGAGAGAGATGAGAAGGGCCTTGGTGAAAGCTTTAGCAGGGTGGACAGAAAAAAAGTTCAGATTTTGGAAGTGTGATGGAGGAAGAAGCAGCTGGGTTTGGACGTGACCTGAATGCATTGGGTAAAGGAGAGGAAGGAGTCAAAGATGACCCCTCCCCCACTTTCAGGTCTCACTGACAGGGAAAAGGGGGTCTTACCATAATGGCAGAACATGGGGAGAATGGGGAGAGCCAGAGGGAAAGTTAAGGAGTTCAGTTTTGGCCATATTAGGTTTAAGCTAATGATGAGGCATCCAGGAGGAGATGTTAGGCAGACTGAAAACAGGGGCAGAGTAAAGGGACACAAGTCAGGACTGAGGAAGAAGATTTGCAAGTCAGTGGCATGATGTGGGTGAGGAAGCTGTCTGAGATAGAGGAGATCTCTCAAAGTAAAGTTTTAGAGTGAGAAGAAAAGGGGGGCTAAGAATGGATCCCTCTGGGATCTTCCAGGGAATGGTGGAAGACCTCCACTCTTAAAAAAGAGCACAGAGGCTTTGTCTAGACTAGGACTGAACAGTGTGTTATTGGATGAAGTTAGCTAACACATTCCAACCATCTAGTGTGGATAAGCCAGTGTAGGCTTTAATATGTACCAAGCAGGTCAAGTTAAATCTTAGGCTTGGCTGCCTTGTCCATACCAGATTTTACAATGAGTTAGCAAGTATTAGCAAACGTCTTCCAACCACACATCTTTAAACCCGCATCTGGACAAAGTCTATAGGAATCGCCAAAGAGCAGGTGTACCCGAAGTGGACAGCATCCCTTAAGATGGACAAGGAAAAGATTTCAAACTTCAGAAAGGAGGGTGTGAGGACCCTCCAAAGCAGAGTGGCCAGGGAGGACAAGCGTGGAGTGGAGGTCCTGAGATGTGGCTACAGAAAGATCATTCCAGACTTTTGTGAAAGCAGCTTGAGTGGAGTGGAGTGGAGTGGGCAGAAGCTTGATTAGAGAGGACTCAGGACAATGAGGGAGGGAGTCAAGGCAAGAGCTGTAGACTGCCTGTTCAGAGAGTTCAGAGGTGAAGGCCAAAAGGGAGGGATAAAGCTAATTCTTTTGAACCTATTTCATTTACTTAGTCTTTCAATCTCCCTGAGCTTTAAGGCTAACAGAGGGTGGACTAGACCCTTTCAAGCTGTGTAAAGAGTGACCAGCGTGTTGAAGTGCCATGTGCAAGTGACCACCTGAACCCCACACTTTGGGTCACTGCCACTCATGTACAGCATGGCTGTGAGCTGCCCTGACTGTAATGCTATCTACCTGACTGCTGCTAGACCGCCTGTGGGAGTAGGTTGGTCCATCCCTGGCAAGGGTTCCCATGCTGTCCCCTCGGCTAGCAATGAGGCATCCCTGGGATGGCCAGCAGATGCAAATGGGAGCTTCCTTTTATTCTCTCTTGTTCAACCCACTGGACCACAAGGTAGGTCAGTAGCATTGTTGCTGTCAAGGATATCTAGTACGTCTACACAGCAGCGTTATTTTGGAATAACTGATGTTATTTTGAAATAACATCGTGCATGTCTACACAGCAAGCTGTTATTTTGAAATAATGTCGAACTGGAGGAGTTGTCACTCTGACTCCTGTAACCCTCATTTCATGAGTTCTTCCTTCGACTTCCTGCTGTGCAGACAGTGCCAAAAGCTGAATTAAGCTATTTCGACTTAAGCTACACAATTGACATAGTTGAAGTTACATATCTTAATTCAGCTTTTGCCCTGCTGTGTAGATGTGCCCCTAGGAAGCAAAGGGATGACAAGTTTGGGGTTTTTTTTGCTCAGGTGATGAGGAGTTGGTCCAGGAGGTGCTGTTTGATGCTGTGGTAACAGCGCCAATGGAGGCTTACTGGACAACCTTGGCTCTCAACATGTCCGAGTAAGTATATGTGAAAAGGCAGCTGAAATTAATTCAGATCCCATGGTCTTCTTGGGAACTGGAACAGGGTCTTCTGAATTTTTGGTGAAAGATCTAGAGCCATGCTGAAGGAGCAACTTTATTCCCTTTGTCCCAGTTGAGCCCATAATAGATCCTTACATAGCACTAAGCTGACCACAGAAACAGAAGCAGGATGTCGACCTCGCTCTCAGGAACAGACTCCAAAGAGGAGGAGTTTCACATTTGGGCTGTGTCTAGACTGGCATGATTTTCCGGAAATGCTTTTAACGGAAAAGTTTTCTGTTAAAAGCATTGTTGGAAAAGAGCATCTAGATTGGCACAGACACTTTTCCACAAAAGCACTTTTTGCGGAAAAGCGTCTGTGCCAATCTAGACGTGCTTTTCCGCAAAAAAGCCCCGATCGCCATTTTCGCGATTAGGGCTTTTTTGCGGAAAACAAATCTCAGCTATCTACACTGGCTCTTTTGCGCAAAAGTTTTGCGCAAAAGGACTTTTGCCTGAACGGGAGCAGCATAGTATTTCCGCAAGAAGCACTGATTTCTTACAGTAGGAAGTCAGTGCTTTTGCGGAAATTCAAGCGGCCAGTGTAGACAGTTGGCAAGTTTTTCCGGAAAAGCGGCTGATTTTCCGGAAAAACTGGCCAGTCTAGACACAGCCTTGAGGTATTAGTAATAGATACAGAAACTGACACTTTAAAAGTAATGAGTTAAGAGCACACCCAAGGACAGTAGTAACTAAGCTTTGTCTCCATGTGGCACCTGTTCCTTGAGCAACGTAAAGTGAATTGGTCTGAGTCCAGTTCTTATTGGAGTATCACAAAAAATATGAGCCCAACTGGCACTAATTGGCTCTCTTCCTCCCCAGTACTATGTGTAAATGGCCTGCAGCTGGCTGAGCAGGACTTTGTCATCTCTACACAGGGACAAAATGAACAAATCACAGAAGTGTGAATGTGAGAAGGAATGGTAACATCATAATAAGCCTAATTCCCACTGGGATTTTCTATTCTGTCAGTTCTGATATAAACCCACTGAAGGCAGATGCATTATATCACAGAGGAATTTGGTCCTAAATGCTTAAGAAACTTCACACACCAATTTGTTTCCCTCTGAATCTCAACTTTGGAGGCCCTTACTACATGGCAGGCTTAGCTCTAGCTATGAAAACTAATATCTGCCCCTGTGGGTCTCTCTCTCTCTCTCTTGCAGTGAGACTGAGCAGGGGGTCGAGATGGCATTTCTGGGCACTCGAGCTGGCCTCATGAGGAGCCTCCTGTATGTGGGGTCTGAGAAACTCTCCAACAGGCAAGTCCTCAAAATAAAACTTCACTGAAGAGTTTCTTCTACCACCATGAAATTGCCACTCTGCCTTGAACAGTATCCAGGGTTACAGAGAATACAATGGGAAGCAATCAGGGGATAGTGTGTCCTAAAAGATGGGATGCAGCGCTTTTGTTTGTGCTTGTTCTGTTTGAGATATGGCAAAAGCCTTTCCCAGAATGCACTGGTTTCAATGTGAAATGTAATGTCATTTTTCTGAGACACACAATCTCTTCTTTGATTGTTTTGAACTCCTGATCAGGAAATAGAAGGGCTGTCCCCAGGACATCACAGCCAGAGAATCTCCAGTGACATTTTTTGTGAGAATGTAGGGGGCCTATGCTTTAGCTTTTGGGCCATGTTCCAACTTGGCTAGTAATGGCCTGCCTGTCTCAATTCCCCTTGTAGTCTCAATTGCTGGATAGTCTATCCTATACACATTCTTATACTGCCTTCCTCATCCTAGAATCTGAGCTCCTTCCAGGGGGTGCATTAAGCAATGTGATAGCATCTGTCACATGTAGTGAGTATCTCTCTCATCCTATCCCTAGATGGAGAATCGTGTGTGCCGGGGAGGATTTTGGTTTGGTGGGATTTTGGTTAGAGTTATTTTTAAATGAACAACACGCACTGCTTTGAGTTCCTGTTAGAAAGTAGGCTGAAGAAATGCACCCTGCACTTGGAGGAGAAGGTGGTGAGGTTTGCGATGGTCCTTCATTCCTCTGGGAATTTCTTCCACCAAGGAAGGTTCCATTTCCCAAACAGATGAGCTTCACTATTATGGCAGAAAGTTCCATTGTGCCTAAGGAGTGGACTTCTCATTTCCAGTCTTCATCCCAGAGCTTTAGGTGGGTTTTTTTTAGATATGCTGGGCCCAGGCCCTTGAGTGCTTTGAAAATATGAAGCAAGACCTTCAACTGGACTTATTCCCTGCCCTATACTGCTGGTGCGTAGCATTCTTTGGTACTTTTAGGCTTAGTCTACACTGCAGGGGTTTTGCTCAAGAAGCCTTTTGCGGAAGAGCTGTTGTGCAAAAACTTCTTGCGCAAAAGTGTGTCCAGACCTCAAAGCAATGTGCTTTTGCACAAGAGAGCATCCACACTGCATGAACACTCTTCCGCAAGAAAGCGCTGATGGTCATTCACAGAATGGCCATCAGAGCAACTATGATTTTTCCAATAGAGGTTTCTTGCGCAAAAACCCCTCCGGAGCGTCCATATCTTGACTTTTGCTGTCCTGTAAGAATGGCATCATTTATCCTTTATGACTTCTCCTTTGCCCTTCTTGATCTGATCATTAGCACTAAACTCTGGCTCCTCCCCCTTCTCTCCTTTGCTGAGCACCATAACCAGTTTCTGGCTCTTGACTGAGGATACGTCTACACTACAGAGAAGATTGAAGCTGCCGCTGTCAATCTTTCAGGGTTTGAATTAGCGGGTCTAATGAAGACACACTAATTTGAACTGAGAGGGGTGCTCTGGTCGATGCTGGTAGTCCTGCTTCCACAAGGAGTAAGGGAAGCCAAAGGGACCGTGTTTTCCTGTTGACTTCCTGCAGTGTGGACAGCGCCAAAAGTCAAGTTAAGGTACTTCAAATTCAGCTATGCAATTCACATAGCTGAAATTGTGTATCTTAGTTCAACCTTATCCCATAGTGTAGACCATTCCCTGGGTCAGACAAGCAGGGGTCTTCATTTCCCAACCATGCAAATAAAAGGGCTTCCTCATGATCTCTTTCACATCCCTACTTTAGTGCTTTGGAGCTGAATGCATGAAAGGGATTCAACATTTTAAAAGAAATTCAGACAGAGAGTAACATTTTCTAATGCACCAAGTCCCATTTTCCTAAGTGGTTCAGACATTTAGGAGCCTAAATTTCTTATGCACTTTTAAACATTTTCCCCAAAGTTTTTGGATTGGGTAACTAGACCTGCTTGCAAATGATAAGTGTCATGTCTCCTAACACCGTACCTAGACTGCCAGCATCCCTCTCACGTACACGTGGCACCTGATGATACTTTAATACTACAGCTGTTACCTGTGGTAATTAGATCCCTTCCCTCTACATGTGGTAACACTTGTTCATACACTGATACTGCTGATGTTAGCTGAGGTAACATAATGTCTACAGTGCTACAAACAGATATATTGCTGTTGCAGCTCTGGGCTGGGATATAGGATTGTTTTCAAATGCAGGGTTCCACATAGCACAGATTTTTACTGTGCACTTCCTTTTTCAGTTTCTTAGCTCATTCTTAACCACACTAGAGCTGGCTTACATGAATTACTGCTAGTCCCACTGGGATGGGCTAAGTGAGGTAGGTGCAACTTTCTCACTCAACTAGGTAAAGAGCTACAGCTTCAAGGATGTTACTTATTAGCTATATCCACCCCACCTATCAATGGTTATACATGGTGGCTGAACAAGCTGTGTGTGGGGGGAGGGGGTGTAATGTGGACATTGATATGGACAACAGCACCACCTAGTGGCTCAATCTGGAATAATTAATACAAGCTATGCGACATGCCTCAACAGAAACCAAGAAGCTGAGAAGCTAGGAAATCAGGCTCTTGGTTCATGTAGCTAATTCTCTGTAACCTCCCATGTGTCCCCAAACCTAAATGCCGTCTTATCTGTCTAGAGAAGTAATATTTGTAAAGCACATGCCACTATTGTATTTAGGTGCCTTATGCCTTATTTGAAAATAATTTTCTCTTGCTTGAATGCAAATAGACCATTATATTCTCCTTCTATTGGGGATAGCAATGAGTGTCTTATGGACATCTAGTTTATCTGGGGCTGCTACCCTGTATTTGACAGTGTACTTTATCATCACTACTGAGGGGTTAGATCTTTGCAGAGAGGCATGACTTGTTCTTAAAAAAAATAATGTAGACTCAGCATGGTCTTCTATAATCAAAGCTTCTTTGCCTCATTGCCCTTTTTTGGCAGCCAACAGGTTGATATGAGGCTCTGTTGGTTGTAGTGTCTCTGTGGAATGGAAAATTCTGGAAAGGTTGTGTAGAGCAGGGGTTATTAGCCTTTCTCGTTGAGGCCTTTCCAACATCCTATAAATACTCGACAGCCCACCAGAGCTGCAATTGTGTTTCTGCGCATAAAAGCCAGGGCCGGTGTTATGAGGTGGTAAGCAGGGAAGTTGCTGGGGGCCCTATGCCACAGAAGGCGGCAGACTTCAGTTGCTCAGACTTCAGTTTGAGACGCAGTTGGTGGGGCTCAGGGCCCTGGGCTCCAGTCCCACACAGCAACATTTCAACTCTGTGCCCTGGATTTGTGTCCTGGGACTCTTGAATGAGAACTGCTGGTGGAGAGAGACCGTCATTGTGGTTGTCAGGCCTACTGCAGTGAGGCCTTTATAGATCAGCACTAGAACCTTAAAGGGATTGAATGGGTAGTCCAATGTAAGGGCACTGTGCACAGGTGTGAGACTCTCTTCTGTAACTCTCAGAGATAAGCTGCAACATGCTGGATTAGCTGACCTTTCTTGGTCAGTCCTATGTGTAGACCCTTACCATAACCCAGCCTCCAAGGCAAAGGCCATGTCTGTAAGAGTGAGAAAGGAGGCACTGATTTCTTCAAAATCATTTTGGGGGAAAGACATTGCTGATAACCTTCCATGCAGCTCCAAATGTGGGTTCCTTCAAATGGCTCATGTACAGGTCTCATCCTTCCCCACTGAAGCATCTTGGACAGCGACTTTATGACTTGCCAGAGCTCTTCCTGCGAAAGAAGAGACAGCGGCCCTAAATTCTCAGCCAACGTGGTCTTTCTCTCTAAATTTGTCCCTGCCGTTTATTAGACATGGTTCACTTTCTGCCCTATAGTGTAGCTCTGTGCTGCTACTCTTTCACCCCGGCAGTTATTCCTGGGGGGAATTCTGAGCCACTGCAGAATGAAGAAATTTGCTGAATTCCCCATTTCTTCTGCAGAATTTCTGGCCTCCGCCTAGGGGTTGCTGGGTTCTGCAGAACTCATCTTAAGGAGCACCTAGCCTAGCAGGGAAGGGGGCTACACACTCTTTGATCCTCATTCTCCTAGGACAGGAGAGGACCTGAGAGATCCAGCCTGCTTTGGAAAAGGCTGGGGAAGGGCCAGGCTGCACCACACCATGTCCCCTGCGGGGACAGTAAACAAGTTGGGCGAAGTGAAGCTCTGAGTGTGCTGGTGTCTGGCCTGGGGGCTGCTCCACAGGCTCTGAGAGGAATGGGAGATGCTGGTATCTGGCCTGGGAGCTGACCTATGGCTGGGCTCTGTGAGGAAAGGGGATGCTGATGTCTGGGCCAGGAGTGCTCTGCAGCTGGGCTCTGGGGGGATGGGCGTGTAGGTGTCCGAGCTCTAGGACCCCCAAGCAACCCCCTCTAGCTCCTCCCAACTGGAACTGGGTGGTGGTAGGGGTCTGATTAACTCGTTACTCCTTGGGAAATCTCTCTCACTGCTGTCTGTATTGTTGACACACTTGTTGACAGATATTTTGAAGTATGTTACCAAAATAATTGAAGCTGGAGTGATAACATGGTGTTTTATTGGCAAATAAAATATGCAGAATTTTGCAGAATTTTTCATTTTTGGTGCAGAATTCCCCCAGGCATGGATGAAGTGACTAAATCCTGTGCACATAGACTGTACATTTCCCCAGGGGTGGGTGGGAAGGGAATGAGAGGTGCTACCCGAATGTAAGTTTCTAGTATGTCACCAGCCTGCAACCATCCTGACGCTGCTGTGCCCTCGCTAAATGCAGAACAACTCCCCCAGGCCGGCACTGAATTACAGAAGACTCATAGACTTTAAGGTCAGAAGGGATCATTATGATCATCTAGTCTGACCCCCTGCACAGTGCAGGCCACAGAATCTCACCCACCCCTCTTAAAATAATCCTCTCACCTATGTCTCAGATATTGAAGCCTTCAAATACTTTGAAGGCCCCAAGATGCAGAGAATCCTCCAGTTGTGATCTGTGCCCCATGCTACAGAGGAAGGCGAAAAACCTCCAGGGTCTCTGCCAATCTACCCTGGAGGAAAATTCCTTCCCGACCCCAAATATGGCGATCAGCTAAACCCTGAGCATGTGGGCAAGACTCTCCAGCCAGACACCCAGAAAGTTCTCTATAGTAACTCCTATCATCCCTCCATTGACCTATTTCCCATTGATAATGAATGGTCAATTAGTTACCAAGATCATGTTCTCAAACCATCCCCTTATCATAGAATCATAGAACTGGAAGAGACCTCAGAAGGTCATCAAGTCCAGCCCTCTGCTCTAGGCAGGACCAATCCCATCTAA